AAATGTTATACAGAAGACAATATCTAACGTTGAAAAACATGAAGATACAGCGAGAAGCTTGTACCCGTTAGTCAGTTTCGAACAAAATTAAAAGTAGGTAACTCACTACTATTGTTAAGAATACATCAAATATGTTCTAGAGTGACGCTTACTGAACTTTATTCTAAGACTGAATGAATAGTTGAAAGTTACGACTTGTGTTTCTCCATTTTTATATAAATTAGGTTATATCGTGTTAATAGGACAATTTTAAGTTTCTAAAATGAATTTTTCCAGATTTTTTTTTTATTATTTTAGACACCAGAAGAAATTATCATCGTCCTATGCCGTTTCAGAAAATTTAAATGGCACAAGAAGGCTTTTAGATTGCGGCTTCCCTTCCATCAAAATAAAGGACTTATTCTAGTGTGTCCACTTCTCATCCTTCGACGTAACGTGCTAACAAGTCACTTGTGTCCTCTGCCTAACGTAAGTGGTCTTTGAACTCTAACACTTCCTCTAAAGTGAACTAGAGCAGGAAAGTAGAGAAGATGAAGATACATGAATTATTTCTTCTTGTAAGGTATCTGTACTGAAACTGTAAAGGATTCTTGGTGTTGGTATAATAAGGGCGTTAAAAGTAAGGAGTGATTAATGTAATCACTTCGGTTTTCGAAAGGAGTGTGAGGTAGCAACCTATTTTGTTTTGTTATGGTTTTGTTTACAGTTAACTTATTCTTTCTATCGTTTAGTTTATCTGTTAATTTTCAGTTTACACTTAAACGCTAACTCACTTCCTAGCTAATCCCATTAACTTTTAAATTCTAAGAGTAATCAGACTGACACCAGTTTCCCATATCGGTCACGTACAGATATTTAACATTGGTAAATAGTATGTAAATAATGATCATATGAATTAATCTGTTCTAACTAGTTAATTAATTATTGCAGCTTAGCTTCTCTTTGAACTCGAGGATTTCCCGTAACTTGAGCCGGAAGGCAGAGAAGGTGAAGATAGAATAATATGAACTGATTTTCTTTGTAAGGTATATGTATTTAAACTGGGCAGGATTCATGATGTCAGTATAACGAGGTCGTTTAAAGTAAGGATATGAAAATTGGGAATTTAGGAGTGATTAATGTAATCACTTTTTTCGAAAGAGCAAGGAATGTGAGGTAGCAAATTCTATTTTATTTCTTTGTGGTTTTGTTTTCAGTTCACTTTATTATTCTTTCTATTATTTAGTTAATCTATGAAATTTTAGTTTACATTTAAACGCTAACTCACCTTCTAGCTAATTACATCATTTAAAGTTTATAAGTGTTATCAGACTGACATCAGTTTCCCTATCTGTGACTTGTAAATAATAATGTCGGAGAAGAGTGTAAATAATGTTAAAATGCATCTTTAATATCTTGAATATAAACCCTGTCATGAGCTTCAATAAGTCTGCTCACGAGAGTTAGTGAGAAATGTTTGTTATTAGATGTTTTGTACTTTTGTGCATATATTTTCTTTTTTTAACTTCTTTTATTTATTGAAATATTAATCCTGATATTAGTGGTATATTCTTTCATGTTAGTACAAAGTCCTTACCACTTGCATATCCATAACCTCTACACGAGTTACTTGATAGTTTATAAAAGGTCAAAGAACGACGTTTTGAAGACAACCAACGAACACAACTATTTCAAGACGTTATACAGAAGACAAGATACAATGTTAATAAACTAGTAACGGTAAGTCACAACTAAAAGTAGTTAACTTCTAAATTATATTATTATGAATACATCCATTATCTTCTGGAATAAACAATTTTACTCAAATTTATTTTATATTGAATTGGACTGTCCAAACTCGCTGGTTGTAATTAGATTTTTTTTAAATTTAAAAGATGTACATTTTTTTTTTCTCCAGTTAATTCCTTGACACCATTCTTATCCTAGGCATTTTCACAAAATTAAATGCTGCAAGAAGGCTTGGAGATTTGCCCAACAAAATGAACAACTAATTCTGGTGTATCCACATCTCATCCTTCGACATAAAATCCTAATGACTCTTGTCTTCTCAACCTGGCTGATCTCTAAACTCAAACTTTCTGTAAGATGAACTACAGCAGGAAAAAAGATGAAGCTCAAGATTTAAGAATATGAATTATTTTTACTTGTAAGGTTTCTGAAACTATAAAGGATTCAGTGTTAGTATAATGAGGAAGTTTAGTATTAATTAATGTAATCACTTCGGTTTCCGAAAATGGGAAGGATTGTGAGATAGCAAATTCTTTTTTTTTTTTATTTGTTATGCTTTTGTTTACCATTCAATTATTTCTTCTATCATTTAGTTAATCTGTATTTTCAATTTACATTTAAACGCTAACTCGCATTCTAGTAAACCACATCAATTTTTAAAATTATATAAATTATCAGACTGCAGCCTATTTTCC